AAATCGCTTTTCTGATGAAAAGTACAGATAATGGTTCTGCTTCACAATATAAATGCGTACCGGTGAAGTATCTCAAAAAATTATAATAAAAATACAAATATTCTTAGAAAAATATCTAGGTCAAGGATATCTTGGAGTAAAGATAATGAGCGAAGATATCCGAACTAATAACAGTTATGTACAAAATGCGTATCAGTAAAGTATTTCGAAAAATTATAAGAAAAATATGATAATTCCTAGAAAAATGTCTAGGTTCAGAATATTAAGTTTGGTAGAAAAATGATTAGCGAATCTATTAGAACTAATATTGTTGATTAGTGGGCACACTAATATAAATAGCCACTTGCACTTAAACCTAGGTCAGTTTTTCTGATCTTCTACGTCGAGTTCTTCATGTGCTCTTGGTTGCCACCTTCCCTACACACCTCCATAGCTTTCCTTGCATAAAAATAACCCAAGGCATCATCTTTCCACTTGATTCTTTCTCTTCCACCTTGTGAGCACTTGAGAGTAAGCCTTGTGAGGGAGAAAGATACCTTCTTGGGGTGTTGTAGCTACTGAGTTTGGGAGTGTGGTGCTGCCTTTTTGGTTTGAGTTGTGATTGAGCTTTCTAAATCTCCATTGAAGCTTCAAGAACCAACCTTTGTGAGGAAAGAGCCTACCTTGGAGTGGGATTTTCGTGCACCACCAAGTCAGTGGCATGGAGCACCTTCAAAATCCTCAAAGCTTCTCCATTTTTCTGGTTTCAAAGGTCCATAGGTAACTACAAGCCATTTCCTTTGTAGTTTCTTGAAATGAGTTAGTTTGTGAAGTAAAAAGTGGAAATCTTAATGATTTATGTAAAACATGATATAGTTATGTTTAAGCATGTTGTTTAAACTTCTGTTTGATAACCCTTGAAAGCCATGGAACTCGCGGATTATGCAGAAAAATCTGCAATTTTCATGATCTGTCCGCGTGGTAATCAATTACCATATTCATGGTAATCGATTACCGTGTGGAGTAACCGATTACCCCCAGTATGGTAATCGATTACCCACTGTCAGAAAGACCAGAAACTAGTTCTGGTGCGTGGGAAATCCCCATTTGGGTATGGTACCTTAGGGAGTCAGTGTTACTGTTAAGAAATATTAATACGTGATAATTATGAATTGGAAGGGGTTTAAGTCACTAAACGAAAAAGAAAACATTGCTCAATGGATATGAAATTCGGGATTTCTGAATATTAACTATGGTTTCGTACAAAACAAATTGCCATTGCCGGATTGTGTGACTGTTGGTATATTTGTATATACCGAACCTTTGGTTAGAGATTTTTGCACTACAAGTAAGCTTCTATATCCTCGGTTTTACCCATTGATGGTTCCATCATACCTCATGGAGGGATGATTTATATGCATGATTTTTATTTCTGAAAATATATTTGTTTATATGATGAATATTGAATATGTTGTTGAGCTGAATTTTGTTATAGTGCAATTGCCATATGTATATGTATGTGGGGTATTCCACACGAGACGGTAATTCCTTAGCATGTCAGGCCACATGCAAGAAGGTAACTCTGTGTGTGAGGTACATGGTGGACTCCTTGTACTGTGGATTGTAGACGTATGTAATCCCTACCTTTTATTCTCTGGCCAGTAGGATGCATACACACATGACATGGACATATGCTACATTGCACAGATTTTGCTATTACATTGTTGTTATCATTTTTGAACTTATATTGCACATGTAAGTGAGCTTGGGGTGGAGAGATCCTTGAGGATCCATTGCCTTAATGAGATTTCTTGTAAGAGATCTTACCGTGTGGGGCATATTTTCAGGTATAGGTGTTCCTGAGGTTGAGACCTCTGGTGGCAAGAGGCCAGAGTTGAGTTGAGATGATGCACGCACCTTGCCATATTATTATGATTTATGCCTTGCTGTTATGTCTTTATGGCTATTGTATTTGAGACATGATTTGATTATGTTACTTTATTTGCTGAACATGGGGTTGTCTATGTCACATTTGAATAAGCTGTAATTATTCAGACTTGAGTTGTATTATTGTATCAGGACATGTCTGGTCTACGTGTTGTAGTTCCATGACTTGATACATTATTTATATTATGAGGTTATTCAGTGTAGTTATTTATTGCAATTTACATACAGACGATTTTTTGAAAAAGAATAAGTAAATCCACTTGGTTAATTTAATAATGTTCATAATTGAAAAAATTTAGCTTCCACAATTATTAAGCTGCACTTATTACCATTTATATGTTTAATACACCGAGTGCACACGGAGTGTTACAAAATTTTTCATGTTAAAAATTTGTTGTGCGTGTATCTGCATCTCTTTTTTTCTACATTTTTGTGTTTTGAGTGATTTGACAGACCTATTGACGTTAGACTAACCTCCAATTGCCGAGTTGCAATACTCGACTTGACAAATAGTAACCACTTCTGCACTTATTGAGGGACCCTATCCTAACAATATTTTTGTTTCCAAATTATTTCAAGAATTTATGGTGATGGTAGAATTTTTTTATTTTCACGTTGTTGAGTAAATGATGAATTTGCAAAGCGTGTAAGGGCATGTTTGATACATAGTATAAGATAAAGTCTGATAGTATATGACTTGATAGTATAAGACATGATTGTATAAGACTTGATTAAATTTTAATACTATCCAACGTTTGACATGATATTGTATAAAATAATATATTGTATAAATATCATCCAATATTTGATAATACACTGTATAAGACTAGATAGGTTAAAAATAAATATTTTTGTCAAAAATACCTTTTAATAATGAATTTACATAATTCTTCAAAATATATCAGATAAAATTATTTTTTATGGAAATATGTTGATCAGTGTGTCCAAAAAATATATTAATTTTTATAAAAATAAAAATCTCCAATATTTAAAAAAAGTATATATTGAAAAATTATTTTTTATTTTAATATATTAATATTAAAATAATATATTAATTCTTGAGAATTGCATTGGTTAATACATCAACCCTTTATCAGTCTAATCTTACTCTTCTAGGCCTGATTAAGTTGTACATCATTTTGTGTATAAAAGGATCCTGCTGTATAAACTTATACTATACGATGATCACACCAAATAACTAAAAATGTTATAACATGTAGTATAAGCTTATACTATTAGATCTTATGCATCACACTAAATAGGTCCTATATTATTATGAACGCCCAATTCTATTCATTATTAAAAGAAAAAAAGAAAAAGAAAATACATGATAGACTAAATTGACAAAAAAAGTTTGACAAAAAGAAAGAGAAAGAATCTGTCGACAATAGACGAAGAGAGGGCAACATTATGCGACTCACTAATAACCACCTCACATTCACACCACACCATAACACTTCCATTACCTGGCACCCATCTTAACCTCTCTAAATACCAATTCGTCTCACCGAGTACACAACCTGCATCCACAGACCCAGCTTAGCCTCATATGATATCTACCACTATATCCCTCGCCACGCTCTGCTTTGCATTTCCTTTGTTTCTTGTTTTTGGGTCTTTTAATTTCAGAAATGAGATTCATTTAACTGAGGTTGAACTATCGTAACTACAAGGAATAGCATGTCATTTAATTCTCCTAACCCATACCTCTCCAATGACTAGCGAAAATTAAGGAAAGATTCGTGAGTTATATTTATTAATTAATTAATATTTTTTTATTAAATTACAATAGTTAGATATATATAAATCAACTATTAAGATTTGATATAAAATTTATTTTTATCCTATATATATATATATATATATATATATATATATATATATATATATGGATCTGGTGTCAAACTTTGAAATTTGGCACCAAATCTTAACCGTTGATTTTTGTTAATCAACGATTCTTATTTATTAAAAATTAATAATTAATTATAGAGAGATATTAATATTTCTCCTGTCACATGAGATAAAATTATCTTTCACAACTTCAAAACACTCTTCATTGATTAATTATTCATAGAATAAAAAATAAATATTTTTTTAAAAATATCCTTATTAATTTCCATAACCCTCAAAATAATATTTTTTTTGGTACATAAATAATATTATTTTAAGATTACGGGAGATAACTTTATCTCATATGAGTGAAGAAATATTAAGTCAAATATATATAATATATTTAATAAAAAATATTAAGTCAAATATATACTAATTATTCTTACATCATTATAAAAATAAAAAAATTTATTTTAAATTTTAATTATTAATTTTTTTACACTTAATAATTCATATATATAATAAATCAAAATCATCAACATATCGGGATATCACACACTTGAATAGTTAAGTGTCTGCTCAACATTATCATGGTCTATGTTGCACCGATATTGACATGGGATACGAGACACGATACAATATGCTGACACATTAATGTTAAAAAAGTCATATTTTAACACGTTAGAACATATTTTAATATTAAATAATATTTTTAATACGTATAATAATTTATATTTAATATATGTAACAGCTTATAATAAGTCATATAATTAATCAAATATTCAAATTTTATAATATAAATATAAATAAAAATAATTTTTCATATTTTATTAATTTTTTATGTTAAATTTTATAACGAAAATATGTCAGATATATGTCGAAGTATTGATCGCGTATTAAAAAATATTAATCGCATGTCAAAAAAACATATTAAAACATTCACTGTATTTCTAAAATATTGACCATATATCATACCCATGTCAAAATATGTCGGTATGGACATATATCCTACACGCATTTTTTCAATAATTTTTGCGTGTCCGTGCTTTACAAATCATGGTCAGTCGTTATTGTAATATCACATCCTACAATAAACATTAAATCATATAAAAAAACCATATAGAGGATTACATTCCATTATTTCTCACGCCAAATTATAAAATTACGGAATCTCAAAAATAATTTTCAATGCGAATGTGGTAAGCTTGTGTCAGTGCCGTCCACACTCGTACCCAATAACATTCCGCCACATAAGCACTCTCGTCTTCCTCTGTTTTAAAGTCCGTGCAGCGCTTCGCACTTTGCAATTGTCCAGTGTCTCTGTTTCCGAGCACTGGCTTTCTTTTTTTAAAGTTCCAACAAAACTGAACGAGGGAATGGGAAAACCACCACCGCGCTCAACGACGTCGTCTCCGCAATAATGAGTAAGGCGTCATCGCCGGCGTTGATCCACGCCTTCATCTACTACCTCTCGGAACACCCCGCCATCGTGGGGTTCCGGTGGAGCCACAGCCAATCATGGGGCTCCACGTGGTCGTTCCTCTTTACTTCCATAGCCTCATATCTCCTCCTCTCTCTCTTCCTCCACCTCTCACTATCCCTCCTCCTCCGCCGCCGTCCCGTCCCACTCGGCCCCATTCCCGCGCTCCACAGCCTATCCATGTCCCTCCTCTCCGCCACCATATTCGCCGGAATACTAATCTCCGCCTCCGCCGAGATCCGCGATACGCGGTGGTTCTGGCGACGCTCGAAGACCCCATTTCAATGGCTACTATGTTTCCCCCTCGGTACACGACCCTCAGGGCGCGTCTTCTTCTGGTCCTACGTGTACTACCTGTCACGTTTTCTCCACATGTTGAGAACCATCTTGGGCATCCTGCGGCATCGTAGGTTGTCGTTCTTCCAGCTTTTCAACCACTCCATCTCCACCTTCGTGTCGTTTCTGTGGCTCGAGTTCTCGCAGTCGTTTCAGGTGCTCGCGATTCTCTTCACCACTCTCGTGTACTCTGTCGTTTACGGTTACAGGTTCTGGACAGCTATAGGGTTCCGCGGCGCGTGCTTCCCCTTCGTCCTGAATTGCCAGATTGTGTTGCTGGGTTGCAACGTTGCTTGCCATGTTGGGGTTTTCTTGCTACACTTCTTCTTCAAAGGAGGTTGCAACGGCATTGGGGCTTGGGTCTTCAATTCTGTGCTCAACACTGCGGTTCTCATGCTCTTTCTCAATTTTTATGTGAGGATGTACGTTTGCCAAAGAAGAAGAAAGGTTGATGTTGTTGCTGGCGAAGAGGGTGATTCTGATTCCACACCTTGTTCCTCGTGCCCTGTCTTAATCACAGGAATGGATGCAGCTAAGTAGAAATTGAAACTCAGAAATTCAGTTAGAGCAGCTTCAATTTGGGGTCCAAAGTCTGTTTCCCTTTAAATCTTCATTACTTTTTTTGTACAAAGCAGGTGTATAAGATAATATAGTATTGTTGGAAAGAAAATTCAATAATTTAGGAAGGTAGCACTTTTGGGTACTGATTATGATAAAGTTTTTTTTTTTTTTTTTTTTTTTTGAATATAATATTTCTCTATTAAAAGTCAAACCTTCTGAATCCTAATTAGTTCATTCTTAGTCTACTTAATTGAGAATGGATTCTGATCATATTAGGTTGGAGTTTTTAGATGGTTGCTGGTATGAAAGCTTTACTTTCAGCAATCAGCGTGCATACCAAGATACGAAGCACAAATACTAGATATTTATCCAAACACGCTTCAATTCAATAATGGGTGGTATCTGCATTGGGAGAAACTTTCATAGCTTTTTAGAGCTAATTATCATTGATGTATGTGTGAGAATTGAAAGAGAATAATAACATGACATATGGTTAGTGTCATACCAATTTATTGTAAGCTGTTAGATCATTTTCTGTGTTATTTGGACTCGAAGAAACTCCCCTTTATTGGAAAATTTCTTCGGTGATACTGTTATTTCTTCCGCTCACATGTGTTTTATTTTTTATCAAATTATTCTCTTATTTAATTTGGAAAAAAATATTTATTAATAATTTGTTTTTTAATACACAATAGCTATTAATACTTTTGACAAAAATAAAATATGTATCATATTATAAGTAGAAGATGCATAAAAAATTCAGTGCATGATATTCTTCTTATATTGGTGAAGCTATCGAATGGAGAGCTACCAAGTCAAATATTGCAGGCAGGGTTTCTTTTCATTACGGAAAAAATCTTCTCGGTCGTTTGACATGTCTCTATTGAATAAACGTGTTTTTTTTGGCAACGTAAGCCGAAATGAAAGCACTAATAAAAAGACATCTTAACCTATTAAGCTTCGCTTTCTTTTAATTAAGAAGGTAAGAATGTTAACTTAGCAGGAATCCAAGCTCCTAAAGACGCATTCAATTGGTAATTGCCCGCCGTAGCCCGTAGGTGTCACGTATCATGTCGGTCCCTCAAATTGATTTAGCTGAGCATATGGAGTATCTAAATAATTTGAATACGAATATGCCTTTGGCAATTGTTCATTAGAAGGGTACAGTAATAACCCATCCAAGTGGCTTCAGAATCAAAGATGGAATATAATGCAATAGTCAAATATGGTGAAAATTATTATTATTATGTTTTTGGAAACAAAATACGGTGAAAATTATTGGTCTCAGCTAGGAGCAAGGCATTTTAAGCTACTGGGTATGATAAAAAGAAGCAAAAGCTGATGACATTGGTGATATTTCTCGATGCACAGGGGAAAACATGATATCCTATTACGGAAGTTCAAAGTTAAGGATAAAGCATAACCGAGTTCGCTAACTGCAGTATCAATATCTAAAATAGTTTAGAAACCCAAATTTATATTAAACTAAAAATGAATAATCACGCACTAATTGCTAAAGTTTGTAACTCATTGCTTAATATTTGACGAGTATGACACAACTATATCAGTTGTATAAATGAATAATGAAGCAATTTTATTTCCTCGAATTCAACTATTGCATTGATTTTCAATTTCATGACTTCTGTACATGCATTTTTATTTTGGTACATACTTTTTTACATGCATTTCATTAGGTTCTTAAGTAAGATTTTTTTATTTAAAAGAGAAAAATTATTCTGGGAATTGGTCAGCATGCTAGTCCGCATCCGGGAATGATGTTTAACTCATCTATTTAAAATTATTATTTTAAAACACTAAACATATAGCAATCTATGTTCCTAATTATAATAATAAATTTAACGAATTAGATGGATCAGATTGATTTTAATAAATGGCTGATTATATTATATAAATACAAACAAATTAAAATAACGATGAATTAATTTATTTATTCGAATTCTCCAAAAAAAAAAAAAACATTAATTTATATGCCACACAACTTGTTGGGAGAATAACACTAACAGACGCAGGTTGATTGAGCAGTTGCTGATAAGGTCATCATCCACTACTGTATGCAAATGCAATAGTTGGTGTAGACCCATTCATGGTAGTTGGTAAAATCAAGATGGCTTTATCGGATTATTGTTCCCTCTGCTATGGATTTAAGGACCAAAATAGATAGTTTGGGAGTTTGGAGGGGAAAAAAAGGAAAGGGATCCAAGGGGAAGGAAGGGAAGGTAATCGAAGGGTATTCCCTTACCTTATTTGAGAGTTAAAAAAATGGTAAGAGAAAAATTGGAGGGTGAATGAGATATTTTTACAATTTTTCCATTCTTTAAAAATTAATATAATTATTATATTTTACAAATAAAATTAAGTTTAAAATTTCTAAACAAAATTATTTATGTATTTTTCACACTACTAAAACAGATCATATTTTCGACGAAAATTCTACGTTGCAAATGATAAAAATTTCGTCAAAAAGTATTTTTCAGTCGGAACTCGGAATACTTTTCATCGAAAGAAGACGGAAGATTTATCCGATGAAATATTTTACAAAAATAAATATTTTGTCAAAATTTACAACGGAATTTAGTTTTCGTCAAAAGTTTTGACGAAAATGATTTGTTTAATATTTTTGACGACAAAAGTTCCATCAAAAGTTTAGACGAAAAAAGGAAATCCATCAAAAAATTTGACGGAATGTTTTCTGTCAAATTTTTTTGATTAAAATGTGTCACAACAGAATTTTTTTGTCAAATTTTTTGAGGGAAATGTTTCTGTGAAACTTTTGACGGAATTTATATTCTGTAAAGAATTTTGATAGAATATTTTTTTTTGTAAAATTTTTTTACAGAAATGTTTTTGGTCGAATTTTTTTACGGAAATATTTTTCATCGAAAATTTGACAGAAATGTGTTTCGTTGAAAATTATGATAGAAATGTTTTTGTCAAAAATTTTGCCGGAAGTATTTTCTGTTGAAAATTTTCTATGAAAATGTATTCCGTCGAAAATTTTAACGAAATTTTTTTCCGTCAAAAAGTATGATGAAAATATTTCCGTCAAAAACTTTGGACGAAATTTAGATTCTGTAAAGAATTTTGACTATTTTTTTCTGTCAAAAATGTTTACTGAAATATTTTTCATCTAAACTTTTTACGAAAATTTTCAAAGAAAATGTGTTTCGTTAAAAATTTTGAGGGAAAAATTCTTCATCGAAAATTTTGACCATTATGTTTTTTTGTCAAATATTTTGAGGGAAGTATTTTTATAGAATTTAGATTTCGTAAATAATCTTGACACAATTTTTTGTTAGAATTTTTGACAAAAATATTTTTCGTCACAAATTTTTACGAAAATATTTTTCGTCGAAAATTTTCGCTGGAAATGTTTTCCGCTGAAAATTTTGACGGAAATGTTTTTCGTAAAAAAATTTGACAGAAATGTTTTCCAACAAATTTTTTTACTTAATTGTTTTCTCTCAAAAAAATTTTATGGAAATATTTTTCCTTAAAAAGTTTGACGGAAATCTTCCCGTTGAAAGTTTCAACGAAATTTAGATTCTATCAAGAATTTTGACTGAATTTTTTTTCAAAAAAAATTATGTCAGTGATTATGGCCAATTCTTGTTTCGTCTCTATTTACGACGTAATGTGATTTTCGTCAAAAATTTCGTCTCTATGTTCGACGAATATTTTTCGTCGATAAATTCTGTCGGTATTTGAGACTTTTCTAATAATGTCACATTTAAAAATGATTCATATTTATGTAATTTTCACATTTTAATGCTAAAGTTAGATAAATAATCTTTAATATTTCCCCCCCTTAAACCCTCCAAATTAGGGGAACTTTAATTTTAAGGGTGGAAAGGGTTTTGGAGGATTTTGCAAAAATCACCAATTCCCTTCCCCCATTTTTTTAAACTCACAAACAAGGGAAGAGATTAATAAAATCCTCCCCTTCCCTTCCTTTCCCTCCAAAAATCAACTCCCAAACAAAGCCTAACACGGATGAGGATGAATATGTGATAAATTTGAATTATTACATCTTATCTAGGAGTGTGCAAATTAACCGGTTAACCTGAACTGCATTTAGAACCGACCCGAATTGAACCAAAAGAACCGGCTTGTCAAACCAAATCATAAACCAGAACCATTTTTAATATTTTAAAATAAATCACTTGTGAACTGATCTAAATTTATTTGTAACTGGTTAAAACCCTGAACCAAACTTTTGCGTCGACGGAGCTCCCAAATCATGGAAGTAGAATCCTAATTTTTTCACTTACTAAGCCAATCTCGAAATTTTACTCTCCACTCCCTTCATCTTCATCTTTAAACCCTGTCATTGTGCCATCTGAAGTTGTTCGTTGTGGTGAGTTGTTTTTTTTCCATTTAGGTTTTTGTTTGTTTTCGTTATGCAATCCTTAAACAGGTTTCCATTCAGGTATAAATTATTAAATTTTGGGGGTTTTTGATTTCTGAACAAGTAGGGTTTAAATTTATGAGGTTGTGGTGATCGTGTCAATCTCGCTCCTTGGTACCTGCGTCTCTGTTGGCTGCACCGTTGATGGCAATTGGAGATTACTAACAGAGATGTTGAAATTCCACACGATTGAGGAGGTCTTTTTCTTTTTGCTTCCCCCATTTTCTTCTGTTTAATTAGTGTTTTTTTGTTTACAAATTTTGGGAAGTAGTTAATGTTGTGCTCGATTCGTTTACTTTTTTTTTTTGTAATTGAGATGATTTTTTTAATTATATATCCTAAGCTATGTATAATTTTGGGAAGTAGTCTGCAGGATAATAGATTATACGGTTCGACGGAGGTTTTCTTATTGGATCTGGGTGCTACTTGGTTTGTCCTCTCTTCTCGGATTGGTTTTGTTTGTTCAATGTACTTTGTTGGTAACAACAATTCACCACTCTCTCTCTCTTGCTTCATTTATTACTATTAAGTTATTCGTTTTATAAGTGACTGTTTTTGGAGATGCTCTATTGATCTTAGAGCATGAAGATGGTTGTTTATGGCTTTTATGGGTTCTCCTTTTGCGTCTCAAGTTTTCTAATTGAATTCATCTATGCTCACTTTTATGAATCACGCTTTGAATCAATTCGTCTTAATGTTTTTTGCTGT